CTTTCAGAAATATGGGACAGAAGTGTCTTGATACGCGTGAGGGAACATTAAAGCTTACATCAGCCAGAAGAGACGGACTTGAAATTGAGCCTGTCAGTAATTTAACCATAAAAATTATACCAAGCATTTCCCTGCGACTGGCAAAGAACAATGATTCGCACCCATTTTGAAATTGCCACCTACTATACTGTAAAGCTTCTAGGACATTCACTATAGAACCGGGTCATTGTTGCCGCCAGGGAGTGAAGAGGAAAAAATTTATTTCGCTTTGCGAATAACCGTGCTATGAAATGCCGCACAACTGGAGTATTTCAAGAACGGATATAACACTTTCCGTAGGTTATTTAAAGCGGCAAATGACCACCAAACCATAATCTTAGCAGACGAATGTGCCAATGAAAATCGTAATTGTGAATTGTTGGTGAAAATGTTGGACCAAAAAGTTTCAATAAAATATATAAAAATTTTGGGCGGGACGAAGTTCGGGGTCTGCTAGTAAGGGTATAAAGAGATTCTGTAGAATTACAACCGATTAAATTTTTTGATGCGTAAGGACGTATGGGTATGGAAAATGCCCTTTTAAAATTTTGTCCTTGAATATCCTTAAAAAATTGCAATAAGTATATTACAAAAAAATTTACTAAGGACTAATACAGACACGACCAAATCCTCGAGTTTCACCCTTCTAACTTTATTATCTTAAAAAAGTAGCATTAATAAAAGGACATTTTACATACCTATTCGTCCTTGTGAACTAAAAGCTTCACATTTTTGAAGTGAAACTTCTTAGGAGAGTGAAATTTTTAAAACTGAAAATGTTACATAAGTGAGAAGGAAGATATAGATAGTATAAAGAGGGGGAAAAAAGATATAAAAGCGGCGCATGACGGTACGAGTCCTATATACATATGTATGTTTGAATGCACGTATGTATGTACCAGGGTTGTTGCGAATATTCGCATTCGCTTTCGCATTCGCAATAATCAATGCGGAGCTTTTGCGAATGCAAATATTGTGCAAGTGTCCCAAAAAATATATATTATAACACATTGAGCGCATGGAATGGAACAACAAAACGGATTTGATGGCTTATGGTACCGACAGCGGTGAGTAATTAATTGTGACTGCCTGAAACTAGGAAAGCCATGCTCACCTAACTAATAAAAAAAGCTAATTGTAAGCTGTTCATTACAGGTGAACCTTTCCAAGAGGTTACCCGACAATTAAGCAAATCTGAGACCTTTACCGTCCGTGATTCCAATAATTAAAATTCTTATAAAAAACGTGGTACCTTTTTTACAAAATAACAAGATTTTAAACTAATTCTGCTGGCAGCCACGACTTTCAAAACAGAATTTTCTTCGAAATTTTCATTCCTACAAAATAACAATTTATTACCCAGAAGACAGGATTAAAAATTAAGTACAAAAACTAAAATCGAAAAACGCTGATGTCGTAACAGGTTCCTCGAATTCTGAAACAACCAAAATAATTGGTTCTCCAAATTGGAACCCAACGGTGTTTAAACAGCGATATTGCCATGATGCTATATTGTCAAGATGAAAGTCAGGAGGATACATTCTCGAATTATTGAACCGCAAAAAAAAATCAAGTCCTCTCAACTGGTGCAGCGTCAATCGAAAAGAATTTACAATTTTGTAAAGTTTCAAGTTTTTTAATTCAAGTACTAAATAAAAAAAATATTAAAAATTACTAAATTTTCCATTTTTATACCTAAATCACATAATGACTCTTGCGCTTCTAGATATGTATATGTACACAAGAACATAGCCCATACTCAAAAATTTTTTCTTTTCTAGAAAAAGTGTTGCCTTTTCGTTTGTTGTCGGTAGGAGAGAAAACGCAATAAATTTGAATTCATTTATAATTCACCCTGTTTCTTTCTATTGAAGAATAAATATTATTTTAGTTTAGAAACCCGCAATTTAAATTTTTTATGTATGATTTTTTATTTTATTTTTTACGAAATTCCTATAAGCGGACATCTCACATAGGCGGACAAAAAAGGTGACCATCGGTGTCTGCATATTGAAGCTTTCACTGTATTTGACATCCGCATTCGCATTCGCATCCGCGGATGTTAGCTTTTAAACATCCGCATCCGCATTCGCATCCGCGGATGTCTAAAATTCCACATTCGCAACATCCCTAGTATGTATATGCATATATACATATGTATTGCGTATTTCAGCTCTGCCGCTTCCAATCAATATACATATGGGTGTTTCCATGAAAATGTCAACCAGGATTGAAAAAATAAAAACAACTGAAAAAGGTTTTTAAGACGAATTAATAAGAGAAAAATACTCGAATTTTTATATTATAGAAGTATTTCAGCTTACTGGAATTTTAAAACTCAAAAATGGAAGAGTAAAACTGAATGTCTCTTCGACTCAGTTTTCTCTAATGAAATTAACTACTTTCTCTTTCCTATAAACTAAATTAAGAGATTTGAAACATTACAATTACATCTTAAAATCAAATTTGCAATAACAACTAACTATAAAAATGAGAAAAATGAGAAGTTAGAGCTCGAATAACGGTAATTTTTTGATTTGCTTCTGATAGTATTCTAATGTCGCGTACGTTATGTCATTTGTACATTGGCGTCGCTNTGATTTGCTTCTGATAGTATTCTAATGTCGCGTACGTTATGTCATTTGTATATTGGCNTCATTTGTACATTGGCGTCGCTGGTAATGCAGATTACAATTCTTAAGCGAGAATTCTTCTAGTTAAAGATATACAGTAAAATTTTCTTTCCAACCGAAGTAAAAATATATTTTATTACCCTTTAAAGTTTGTCGCATACGTTATTGTAAGTACGAAAATTTCAATCAAATACATCAAAACCAATGTTAATTGCAAATTTTCCATTTAAACTATTTAGAATAGTTGTAAAACAATGAAACGGTGGCGAGAAGAGTTCTCAATAAATACATTTTATTACTTACGAGAAAAATTGTCGCGTACGTTATTGTTGGTTTTTAATATAAAACTAGCCAGAGATAATTTCTCTTAAAATATGAAAGGATGGTAAAGGTACATTATTCTTCTTTTAAAGAAAAGAAAAACTCCCATGATTCNATTTATGATTAAGCAAACGGGCTTCGTTGATGTACATACCAGGTACGTGAACCGGTTTTGAACCGGAAGACCGCTTTTTTCTATTAATTAAGTGAACCATTAACCGAACCCAAATTTTCCATAAATGTTTGATCCGGACCGAAAACTGAACCACTTTCTATAAAGGTTTAAAGGTTCGTTTCAACCAATTTTCAACAGATAAATGTACCCACTTTTTTTCTTCTTGTTAAACATGGTAATACCTACCATGTTTGTTTACCATGTGACAATATCAAATGTAAAGGCAAACCCATCCCATTTGACAGACACTTGACCCTTGACCTTGCCCGTTGTTGCACTTGACACTTGACACTTAAACTTGCTCGTTATTTTTTTGATTTTCGAACCGTTGAACCGAACCGAAACCCCGGTTCAAAGACCAAAAAAACGCTTTGACGAATCAATCCAAAATCCGGTTCACGTCCCTGGTACATACTGATGGACATATGTATGCACTTATGGACAGCAATGTTTTCATGTATGTACATTAGACTGCATCACCCAAAAATGTTGCAGTTTTTCCGCCAGGATTACAAAACTTATTATATTTTAAGACGTCCACCAAAATATTTCGGAAATATATTAAGATTTAAGTGAGCTGGACCGATTTTAAAATACCTCCAAAAATGGAGTTTTTTATGAATAACAAGTAAGAAAGTCTAAGTTCGCGCGGAGCCGAACATTAAATACCTGGCGCTAGTATTAAATATACGTTTTTCACCTTTCCGAAAGCTACATGGTAAGCCGGGGTGAATCAATTTTGAGTAAATTAGCGTCCTTAAATTTCGAAATACTGAAAATGCAAGCATTTCTGAAATTTACCGTTATATGAAAAGCGGACGTAATTTTAATCCGATTTCAATAATTTTCAGAGTTTTGCTTCTATGTGGCAAGTAAATTAACCAAACCGAGTTTGGTACAAATTGGTAAAACGGTTACCGAGATAAATATATATGATCATAAGTGGGCGGTGCCACGCCCATTTTCAAAAATTTTATTATAAACGTATTTCTTGGTAAAGAATTGTTTCAAGCATCAATCTCGAATAAATTAGCTTTACTATTTACTGATTTATCGAAGATTTCGTATTTCTCTAAATTAACGTTGTATGGGATGTGGGCGTGGTTATTGTTCGATTTTAAAAAATTTCGGCCATTTCGTATGCCATACCAAGGTCAACAACTGTGCCAAGTTTGGAAGAAATTGGTGCAGCGGTTACAAAGATATACACATGTAACCATAAGTGGGCGTGGCTACGCCCATTTTCCAAAAATTTACAACACTCTTATTTTTCGTCTCAAACTTATTGTAAATATCAATTTTGAGTGAATAATCTTCAGTAGTTACTAAAATATCGGAGTTTTCGTATTTCTGAAAATTACCGTTATATGGGAGGTAGGCGTGGTTATTGTCCGATTTTGCCCATTTTCAATACCATCCGTCCTGCGCCAGAAGGAAGTGCACGTACCAAGTTTCGTTAAGTTATCTCAATTTTTACTCGAGCTATCGTATGCACAGACGGACGGACGGACAGATTAATCGATTTCTCTTTTCATTCTGATCATTTATGTATACATTTGTCTATATCAATCTCGATTCGTTTTGCCTGTTACAAACAACCATTATGTGAACAAAGTTATAATACCCTTGTGCACAAGTGCGCTCGGGTGTAAAAACTGGGGGCCAATTCTTGTTCTGTGAAAACGTGAAGTGAAAACATTTTTCATCACTTCCCATAAAATTACGATTCTGCTTTCAAATATAAAATAATTAATTTGTCAAAAAGTTTTCACTGTGAAAACTTTTTTTTACAAATTTTTGTGGCTGTGAAAAAGAAAAGTTGGGCATTTTTCTCAAAACCATCATCTCGTGATAAAGAATATCATTGTCTTAAAGTCACTATAATTTATTAAATAATTACTTGCTAGATGTTGACGGAATAGACTTTAATGATCGACAATCGCTTTAAATGATATAACGAAACGATAAAATGAAAAAATTAAATTTTCACTGACATTGAATTTTTCATTTTCATTTCACAATTTCATAGAACCAGAATTGGCCCCCTGGTTCATAGGCATATCATTTTTATGAGCTGTTAAGGCGCCAAAATTCCGAATACGGGACAAATACAGGACTCTAAAAGAAATACAGAACATTTGGCGTAAATAATTACCAGGACAAAGGACGAAAAAAGAGGACTGTCCCGTATAATACAGGATGGATGGTCACCATAAGTATAGGCGCTTTTTGGTTCCAGGGATACTGATAGTGTAGTGCTTACTTCAGCTGAAGAGATGGCTACTACATGCTTTTATCAAAATTTACAGAGAACTAAATTTTTTTAGCGGTATAAATTGGCACTAGATAAACACTAAATTATACCGTAAAGTGTATGCTTTTTGGTTCCAGAGATATTGATAGTGTAGTGCTTACTTCAGCTGGAGGGATGGCTACTAATGTTTATACCAAAATGTATATAGCAAAAAAAAATTTCGCGGCATAAAATAGCACTAAATAAGCACTAAATTATGCCGTAAGGTAGAAGTATATGCGCTTTTTGGTTCCAGAAATATTGATAGTGTAGTGCTTACTTCAGCTGAAGAGATGTCTACTACGTGTTTTTTCCAAAATTTACAGGGCACTAAATTTCTTTTAGCGGCATAAATTGGCAACAAATAATCACTAAATTATAGCATATGTGTCAAACCAAGCGGTGAATGTTGTATTGATTACTTCAGGGACCTAAGATTCTCTACATAAACAAACGCACATAAAAACACACACTAATTAGCAAATGTCAACGAAATCCAAAGAAAGCGCGGTGGAAACACTTAGACAGGTTTTTAAGATTTCGAAGTCGAAATATCAGATTTCAGTGCAGTGGGAATGTATTATTATGCCGATTTCGTTTCTACCGGAAAATGTAATCTACTCTTTGCCCTATACGCACAAACACCAAGAAGAGGGCGATGAGAAGGCAACATTTTTTGTAGAAACTAAAACGCCATTACTGTGGTGAATTGTGCCCCATGATTTGAAAAAGTTATTTAGTATATTTCACTTTACGCGATAAAATATATATAAATATGAGTTATTTAATAACCAAATGTAAGTGTAATATCATACTTAGTTGAGAATAATATAAATTTTTAAGCACAATATTATGCTGGTATTACAGCAGAAACGAACGAATTTAAGCTATCAGAAATTATAAGCTTCCAGTTATTAGAACTAAATATTTTGCAGCATTGAACATAGATACAAACATATGTGTTTGTTTATAAAAATTATATGGGTTTTGTTTTCAAAGCAGCACTTTGGGACAAAAGGTACACATTTTAAATAACCTAGCTAGTGATTTTAATGTTGCGAAGTCCGCAATCAGCTGCATAAAATCCAAGAAATAATGGATTCTGGATGCTGTATCCAAGACTTATGAAGAAACGAAAGCAAAAGGTTTGCACTTAGCTGAATGTCGTAATATCATCACTTAAACAACTAACAAAAAACAATCCAGGGTAATAGAATAAATTAAACACCAACAAAAATACTCTAAATTACATATGTATATTTATTTTGCTTTAATTATCGTTTAAAAAATCCAGAAATTAGTACTATTCGAAAATTCGAACCACCCCAATTACAAAGTGGTTCTAATTTGTGAGCTTCTGATGTGATTTCGAAGCTCAAGTGGTAGTTATAGCATTGACTGGAATTTTTAATATATGTGAGTCTAAAACTAAAAAAATATACATAAGATATAATATATTTAAATTAAGTTCAATATTTTCTGTTGTTACTATCTGATGTGAAACTATCACACACAAAACAACCATTTTTATAATTTTACTGACATGCACATACAGGTCTCAACGTATAAATTCCATTGCCTACAGCACATCCGTCCAGATATGTACATAGTTCAGTCAGCATCCCAATAGAGCTGCAAAACCATCGGATAATAATAATAAATATAATAATAATAATATAATATTTTTTTGAAAACATCGATGTTCTTCTTACTATGGATTTTTTTAGAGGATATGCCATTATTAGAAAGTTTATCCGTTGCTGATTTATGGCAGGCAAGAAGTATACAAATTAAAGGTGAAGCTAGTCAAGAACGTAAACCTACCGGTAAGTAAACCCGAGTCAGCTGACACGATCTGTCTTACCAGAGCGCCATGTAAATTAAAACTCAACACAGCAGAATTTTCCTGTAGTTGTAGCCCGTAGCGCTGAAATCTGCGGAATTCAGCTGATTTCTTCCATCTATAGATAGGTGCCACTTGCAGATGGTAAAAAAGTTATAAGTCCCTATTCAAAATACGTTTAATATATTTGAAATTTACTAACGAATAAGTTTTTTTGTTGAAAAACTAGTAGTTTATATTTAGCTAGCATCTATTATAGCACGAAAAATTGTAGTAGTGACGAGGTAAGTTTATGAAGAGGCATTGATCAGTGGCAACACTGTAGCAAGCAAAACTGAGGGCTCCAGTAATCGACAAAATTCTGCGTATAAAGACAGCGTTTAAGTATAAGTTCTGCGTTCTTGACTAATTTCACCTTAAAGCGTAATAAACTCATAATCTTTAACAGTTTAGCTGAATTTTAACGCAACACCGTACCAATAAGTGTTTAGGGAAGTTATTACTATTAAAAAGTATTTTGTCAGTGTCATTCGATTGGGAAAATTAAGACTAACAAGTAAGAAAGTCTAAGTTCGGGCGGAGCCGAACATTAAAACCCGGCGCAAGTTTTAAATACACGTTTTTCACCTTTTCGAAATTAGCGTCCCTAAATTTCGAAATAGGGAAATTTCAAGCATTTCTGAAATAGGCCGTTATATGAAAAGCGGCCGTAATTTTAGTCAGATTTCAATAATTTTCAACTTTTTGCTTTTGTATGGCAAGCACAATAACCATACCGAGTTTGGTACAAATTGATAGACCGGTTACCGAGATACATATATGTGATCATAAGCGGGCGGTGCCACGCCCATTTTCCAAAATTTTATCATAAACGTATTTCTTGGTAAAGAGTTGTTGCAATCATCAACTAAACCAAGTTTGGAAGAAATTGGTGCACTAGTCACCAAGATATACACATGTAACCATAANAACAACTGTGCCAAGTTTGGAAGAAATTGGTGCAGCGGTTACCAAGATATACACATGTAACCATAAGTGAGCGTGGCTAAGCCCATTTTCCACTAATTTATAATATTCTTATTTTTCGTCTAAAAATTATTGTAAATATCAATTTTGAGTGAATTATCTTCAGTAGTTACTAAAATATCGCAGTTTTCGTATTTCTGAAAATTACCGTTATATGGGAAGTAGGAGTGATTATTGTCCGATTTTCAATACCATCTGTCCTATGCC